TTTTTTTTTTTTTTTAATCAAATTTACCTGTACATCCCAATCTGTTTTCCATGCCATGTAGCTAAGTGCAAGCGTCTGAGTGAAAACTCCAATGTTCATTCCTATCCATATACCCTGTGAAACAAGTATCAATTTAAGAATTAAGCACATAGACTAGAAGCGTGCGTCGTCCATATCAATTTCATAAATTCTAGTTCATATGTCATGGAAACTTAATTGGATGAGTAAGGTTATTATTATTTTTGGTTCAAATTGTCTCTAGGATGGAGTATTTGTCCCTGAGGGGGAAGTTAAAAGGGAAACGAAAATAATCCTACAATATCTTTACATGCATGAAGGATGAACTCCAAGGTTCATATGGGTTTGATGACGTGTTCATTGTCCGATATTGAAGGAGCATGTCATCCAAGCTCGGATTAACACGAGGATTGAGATTGGTTGACATCGTAAAATTTTGTTTGATATGAATCTTTACGAACACAACTACCAGTACCAGTAGCAACATAAAAGACGGCTTGTAAGTTTGATTATTAATAAAGGTATTCTTTGCAGTTGACTAAGTGGATAATTTCGGTGTTACCTCCACTTGAAGATGAGCCACATATCCAAGTAAAGCTCCAATTGGTATTCCGATAACATAGAAGCAACAAAGGTTGATAATTGCAACTGTGCCTTGCAAACCCGCTCCTACTGCCACCCCTGTCAACAAAAATTTTCTGAGTTAAACGTCAAATGTAAAATAAACATATATAAACTAATTATGGTCTGTACACAGACTTATCTCTCCTTTTACAAATGCAATATCATCCCAGAATATAACATGTTATGATAGATCAAAAAATATAATTGAAGGCCAAAATTAATGTGGCCTACTATGGTAGCACTGGATTTTTGGTTAGATTTTGCGATGGATAAAACGAAGTGGGGGAAGAACTTCCCAGGTTAGGCATGCATGAAACATTAAGATCAAGTACAGGAAAGAGAAGAAATGAAACCACGGAGTATGTAACTATGTACCTGAGAGTACTGGATATATGCTATTAAGCAATACAGAAATCGCAAGTAGAATTGAAAGATCTGACACGGTCTTTGCAACTTCCACATCGTTTGTAAATAAGTATCCAAGTTTGTTTCCAAAGACCGAGCAAATAATAGTAAAGAATACACCAATCACTATCGAAGTAGTTATTAGGACTTTAATAGAAAACTTTGTAGCTTTAGCATCTCCTCTCCCGAGCTCGTTTGCAATTCGCACACATGCAGCACCAAGGAACCCGAGGCAAATCATGAATTCCCATCCATTGATGTTAAGGCTGTAAAATTCCGCTTGATTAATAGGTCATAGTGCAGAAAAAAACTAATGGCTTGTTTGGTAAGATGTAGTGCAGTAGACACTATCAAGGAAAAAATGTATTAATTCTTGTCATGTCTTGTCTATTATTGTGCAACAAACACGCACTTACCAAATAGAAAAGGCAGATATAGCAACCTCCGCATTACTCATGTATCCGGCCAATAAGACTAGAATAGAATTGTACCACAACTCCAAGCTACAAAGCAAGCAAAGAGCAGAAATAAGTAAAAATAATAGCAAATCACTTGTGATAGACTTCATGCTTGAGAATATACAGTATGATATGCAAACGTCGAATGAATAAGAATAATTTTAACTCAGCTAAAAATCAATTTAAAGAGAACAAGTTAGAAATTCATTGAGGTCACATAAAAAAATGACGGTTATGTTTTACACCAAAATTATGTATGCATCTGCAAACTTGCTCAATCAGTGCAGTGCAATCATTTTAGAAAATCATTTTCGGGTTCATTTAGGCTTTTAAACTTAGTATTTGATTTGTGCAAATATACAATAAAACGTAATTTTTGACATATTTATTTGATAACAAGAGAGAAGATTTACCAAACCATAACGCCAGATGATATTGAGAGCTTTATTACAGGCAATATATCCTTGAAAGCAGCCGTGCTGAATCCTGACCACGTGTGAGGGCACCATCCACCAAATATGTAGGCAAATTCTCCAAATACGACAAACCAGGATGAAATGCATAGTGCAGCCATCGCCCCATCAACTCCCCATTTCAAATGATTGACGAATAGCCAGGACACGGGAACATGTATTAAAAGTTGCATAATGGATAGCCAGGCAACAATACCGTTCTTTTGCTGAGCTTGGAGATACATCTGCATTGTCAACGTAAAAACAAAATTGTAGACCATTGGAATAAACCACCACGAGATGTATCCTGCTGATCTGGCAATGCCTTCTTCCTCGCCAAGCAGTCTGAAGAGGGGCGTCCCGAAGATGAAAATAGGGAGCAAGATAGTCAAAGTTATGAAATCAACAATCCATGATCTTTGCAAATAAATGCCCATCATATGGTACTGTCGTGCTCCATATGCTTGTCCACAAAGTGTTTCAGTTGCACTTGACATGCCTATCTGCAGCATAGAAATTTATAACATTTTAACATTTGGTACAAACTCTAGACATAGCCCAAATCCAAATGCCAAACTTGTGCTAAATAAAAATGGTCGAGAGTCTTTCCATCTTCCAATGTGGAAATGAAGACTTTCCATTTTCCCTCCATTTTACAAGTTCAATATGTACTCATTCGGATTTAATTTCTCATTCATCCACATATCTCTTTTGTAATTCTTTCTATTTGATTTCTAATTGCATTTGTTCTATCAGTCAGATTCTTCATTTTTTTTACCATCAATGAAGAATTTGTCCAATCTGGAGATGCAATTTGATTAAATGATTCATTAATCATCGGATTGCTGATTATGGATCTCTTTCTTTCTTTTTAAGTTTAACAAGATTCATATACTTCTACTTCTCTTGATCAAAATAAGAGAACTAGATTTGTTTCGAGAAACCAAATACACCATGAATATATCCTCGTAGAGAACAACGCATATGGCCTCAGAAATACAAAATCAGTTAATGAGACCTGCTAAAATATTTTGTCAAAGCTGGAGTAGCAATGCGAACTAAACCATTTTTCCAAGAGTATATGCATCTGTATCTTAATTGAAATGGAAGATTCTTTATACATTGTAAATTTTGCAAGACTTGCAAGTTCAAGAATAATAAATGGAAGGATATAGAGCAAAAGGTTACCAGTATCCCATTGATAAATCGCACGCTAAGAGTTTGAACGAGTGCATAACCAGCAAGATCTAATGAATTTATGTGTCCAATAAATGATTGTGTCACTATTATGGTTCCGAATGAAGCTACTCGGGCTATAATTCCAGGCAACGCTACCCTCCATATCTTCTTGGATTCATCATAAACCTTCCCTTTCAAATTGCCCACCTCTTTTCCTTCTGAACCAAGCAGTCTCTCTCGAATGCCATTATCCATGGCTCTGCAAAGAAGAGAAACAAAAATCTCATCAAACAAAATTATTTAACAATCCAAAAAAGCCTATTACGTGATATCATACGGATGTACATTTTCTACCACATGCTGAAGTGATATCTTACTTTAAATGCCTCGATTTGAAGTCATAAACAATATAAGATTTATCGTGCAGGGAGTAAAACACCATGTTTTCTGCATACATGCATCATCAAACGGTCTTGATTTATACAAACAATTTCAGTACTTGATACAAAATTCAAATTATCGAGTTCATTAAACATCATTTCAATTTTTATAAACACATATATATGTTTGGCAAGAAAACGTTTTTGGGCAAATCACTTTTACAAGTGATACTTACTTCTCGACCATTCATTTCTATCAGTTTATAAACACATTTCCAAACATATGCTTAGTTTCATTACTTGTAGAGCTCCAGATTGTTAACAGAAAGAATTCTCTACATGAAAGGGACATCTGTCCAGGTATCAAAGCCAATCGAGTCTAAATAGATTAATCTCAACTTGATTATACATATAGAATAGTCAACATCTTTCTACATTCTTTTGTTGAACAGATAAATCTTTAAAGATTTTTTATTCATCAGCCCAAAGTCAAGATTTAAAGAAACAACAGAATAACTGAGTGAGGTTCCCGCAACAGTAAATCTAGCATCGGCTACATGCCTACATGGAACCTTTTTCATCACTCCATTCAAGTAATTTTTAGATATACGCGAAGATTCAAATTTTAAGAAAAGGGATAAACATTTATGGCGAGGGTGAGTCTCAGTTGACATTTCAACATATATTATCAATCTTTATCACATTATCATTTCTGGCTTGGATACCGGATCTGATGCATTCCCCATTGAACGTCCCGGAACCAAATCTTAGAAAATCAAAAAGAAGGACCCATCATAGATAAATTTGATTGAGTAGTAAACAATTAGAGTATACGTGGTGTTAAACTGGACTGGTCAATAAAGTGAACGATCAAAGAAATCTTTAAAGATCATGACTTTTTTACAAAGAAGAAAAGAGAGAGAGAGGGAGGGAGAGAGAAAGATCATCATCAACAGCAATGATGGCCCTTAATCACTTGTTTAGACAGCAGAAATGCAGCCTTTTTCAAGTGGACAAGTAAAAAGGAATTAAATTTTTCTTAAAAAATATGAAATTATTTCCTTCAAAGCTGTAACTTTAATAAAAGACCCCAATACACATTATTTATGAACTCTCTGGAATACTGCGTTTACCGTTTGAAAACTTTTTGGGCCTAAAAATCATTTCACTTTGAAGTAGTGTTTTTCTTTCAAGATTCTCTGAGCCAATTTTTATCTTGGCTGTGCAAAAATTATTACAACAAAATCATAAAGTAATAAATTATGGGGCAAATAAGAATAACAGAAAATAAACCAGAAAATCTCCCAAATTCTGCATTAAAGACTAAAAGTTACTGGATTTGGTCAAGAATTGCATCTGGTAATAGAAAGGTGAAAACCAGTTGGTTTAGTATAGAGTACCTTGCAGTACTGAGAGAGGCAGAAGGAAAATATTGAAGAAAATGGACTGTCCAATCTGTACTTCTTGTTCAAACTTACTGCTACTATTTTCCAAAGTTTAAGTTTTTTTTTTTCCCCATTCAAAATCCCGCGCAGGCTCTATACTTGGTGCATANAACTCATTATAACATAATAAGTGGACCCAAATTAATTTCTGGAAGATTCTGTGCCCGTTGACATTTTAGGTCACTCCTTGGTGTAATTGTTTCTCTCCTTGCGTCTAGTGTAGGTGAATCTGATCGGGGGCTTATCAAATACCCCCCCTTGCAGCCACCTTGCCCTCAAGGTGGAAAGTAGGAAACTGCTGATTGATTAGGTCGAATGGTTCCCATGTTGCTTCCATTGGGGATAAACCTTTCCATTGAATAAAGACTTCCATTCCGGCTGATGTCTTCTCATGATGAGGCCTTTATCCAAGTACAAACTCTGGTTCCACTAGCATTTCCTAGTCTTCTCCCAGCTGTAGCGGTAATGGTGAGACAATATGTGCATCTCCGAAAACCTTTCTCAGTTGAGACATATGGAATACTGGGTGGACGCAAGTGTTAGCTGGTAATGCTAGTCGATATGCTACCTGAACCACTTTTGCTAATACTTCAAAGGGACCAAAGTATCTTGGGGCCAACTTTTCATGGGATCGAGCAACCAGCGACCGGCACCTATATTGTCTCATTTTCACATACACCCAATCCTCCTTATTAAAGACCATGACCCTGCGATATTTGTTAGCTGATAACTTCATCTGTTGTCGAGCTCTATGTAGGTGCACTTTTAATTCCTCCAAGACTTGGTCTCATTTCAACATTTGATGTTCAAGGGACGAGATAGTTGTGGTCCCCTTATCAAATCGTATCAATGGAGGAGGATCACGCCCATAAAGTATTCGAAATGGGGTGAGTTGTGCCGATACATGGAAAGAGGTATTATAGGAATATTTAGCCCAATGAAGGAAGTGGTACCATTTGCGAGGCTGAACTGAGGCAAAGCACCTTAGATATGTTTCCACCCCCCTGTTGATGACCTCCGACTGCCCTTCTGTCTGGGGATGATAGGCAGAGCTATATCTTAGTTTAGTCCCCTGCAACTTCAAGAGTTCATTCCAGAATTGACTCACAAATACCTTCTCACGATCGGAAACAATGGAGCAAGGGAACCCATGCAGTCGGGCTACCTCCTTGATAAAAGCAACTGCCACGGTTGGGGCTATGAAGAGGTGTTTCAACCCAATGAAGTGTGCATACTTACTCAAGTGGTCAACCACAACCATAATTGAATCGAACCCCTCTGATCTTGGCAATCCTTCTATGAAATCCATTGATATATCTTCCCATACTTTATTAGGCGTCGGCAAAGGTTGAAGCAACCCAGCTGGGGCCATGGTGGAATATTTGTGTTGTTGACAGACCGCACAAGCTGCCATATACGCCCTAATGTCCTTCATCCCCTTCCAATGCACACTCTTAGCTATTCGCCGGTAAATTACATCAATGCCTTGCTATTTTCATATCATGGCCTTCATGTAATGCTATCTTTACCAAGGACTAAGGAGGAATCTTTGGGCAACACTAACCTATCATTGTAAAGAAAGTTTCCTTGGACCAAGGTATAGCCTGGGGGACTCGTGTGACCACTACACAGGGTGGTCACAATTGTCCTTAATTCAGCATCCTCTTCGACTGCCTTCAGTACCTCGCGGAGCTGAATTACACTGGAAACACTCATAGCCATTAGAGTGGCGACATCCATTCGGGAGAGAGCATCAGCCGCCTTATTTTCCAGCCTCGGCTTTTATTCAATGTCAAAGTTGAATCCCAAGAGCCTGGTCAGCCACTTCTGATATTCCATATTCACTTCCCATTGTTCCAATAGAAATTTGAGGCTGTGCTGATTCGTCTGCACCACAAATTTTCGTCCCAATAAATAATGCCTCCATTTTTGCACAGCTAACACGATGTCCATGAGCTCCCATTTGTAAATGGACTTACTTCGAACCCGTGGTGGAAGTACCTGACTGAAGTAAGCAATTGGCTATCTATTTTGCATAAGGATAGTGCCTAAACCAAAACCGGATGCATTAGTTTCAACGATAAAGTGCTGTGAAAAGTCTGGCATCCCCAACACAAGTACCATCATCATGGCTTGTTTTAATTTGATAAAGGCAGCCTCCGCTTCGTCGTTCCACCCGAAACTGTCATTTTTTAATTGTTGTGTCAAAGGCCACGCTATACTTCCATATCCCTTGACAAATCGATAATACCCTGTCAATCCCAGAAATCCTCTTAACTCCCTGAGAGATTTTCGCCTAGGCCATCCCCCCATGGCTTCCACCTTGGCTTCATCAACAGCTACTCCATTTCCAGAAATGATGTGACCTAGGTAATCCAATTCCTTCTTACCGAAAAGGCATTTCTTCTTATTAGCATAGAGCTGATTTTCCACAAGCAACTACAACACCACCTTCAAATGGACTACATGCTACTCCATTGTCCGACTGTAAACTAGAATATTATCGAAGAATACCAAAATAAATTTTTGAAGGTAGTTCCTGAAAATGTCATTCATAATAGACTAGAATGTGGCGGGGGCGTTCTTCAGACCGAACAGCATAACGAGGAACTCATAGTGCCCCTCGTGGGTCCGAAAAGTAGTTTTCGGCACATCATCCGGCTTTACCCGAATTTGGTGGTATCCTGATTGCAGATCAATCTTGGAGAATACAGTCGTCCTTCTGAGCTCATCTAGTAACTCGTTGATGACAGGGATTGGAAACTTGTCGGGGACTGTAACATTGTTTAAAGCTCGGTAGTCGACGCAAAATATCCAACTCCCGTCTTTCTTCTTTACCAATAACACTGGGCTTGAGAATGGACTGATACTTGGCTGGATAAGGCCTGTAGACAACATTTCCCGCACTAGCCTTTCAATTTCGTTTTTCTGGAAATGGGGATAACGGTGTGGTCGAACGCTGACTGGGGTAGATCCTGGCTGTAAAGTAATGGCATGGTCCCGAGCTCTCGAAGGGGGAAGATGCTTGGGACATTCAAACACCTCAACAAAACCACATAATACTTTGTTAATTACTTCCGGGGGGGTCCGAAAGGGTCGTCTCAGCTTGGACAGAAATGTTCCCCAATTCTAATACCACCCTCTCTCCTTGTGCTCTGAATGCCTTCAGCATTAATTTTAGGGAGACCGATGTCTTGCTCAAACTGGGGTCCCCAGTTAATGTAACCTTAATGCCAGCTACATTGTACGTCATAGTCAACTCTCACCAGTTCACACTCATTTCCCCCATTGATCATAGCCATTGCATCCCCAGAATGACATCTGAACTTCCCAACTCTAATGGGAGAAAATCCTCTTCTACAGCCAATATCTGCAGTCTTACTCCCCTGCACATGCCTTCTCCTTTAACTGTTAACCTAGTCCCCATGATGACG